TCATCAGAAAGAGACAGTAGAAATTTCTAAGGGAAATAATGAGAAAAGAAGGCTTGGAGAATCTGGTACTTTCAAAGTCTAAGCAAAGTATTAAGAAACAGAATAATTTCATTAGAATCAAAGAAAAGAGTACTGAACTGTTATTTAATATTGTATCAGTGCTCTTATATAGGAGTGAATGCTGGACAATCTTTTCAAAGATGAAGAAGAGACTTGAAGCAACAGAAATCTGGTTCTATAAAAAGATGCTGAAGATAGCATGGACCAAACATGTCAGCAATGACAAAGTTCTAGAAACAACAAAAATTAAAAGGAAACTTACTTAATAAGAAAAGAAAGTTGAAATTTCTAGGGCACATAATGAAGAAAGAAGACTTGGAAAATCTGATACTTACAGGACAGACTAAAGGCAAGAAGGACAGAGGAAAACAATGCATAACAATGAATTTGAGTAAATGGATGGCAGAACAAGGTTTAAAAGAAATAAGAAAAAAATTATTAAGATCTACAAAGGGCAAGAAGTTGTGGAAAGTCATGACTGTCCATGTCCTGAAGGGACATGACACATAAAGAAGAAGCTAAGGCGGTGTCAGAAATTGTTCAGTTTCCTTGGTAGAGAAGGCATTTTAAGGGTGATGACTTGTCCCTTTTAAACTGACTGCAATGTTTTAAAGTGTAAGATAGACACAAACCCAGCTACAAACACTAAAAACTTTCTTCAGAGCTTGAATCACCAAATGCCGTATAAGCTTCAAATAATATACAGGAGCTCTTGACAGATTAAGCAAAAAGAAAAATGCTTCTCAGATTTACTTCCATCCTTTATATTAATTGAGTAGATTTTGTCAAAGTTGAAAATAGAGGTAACAGCTTCATTGTTGTGGGTGCTGCATAAATGAGGTTGTTATATGCAAGTGGTTTGCTCAGTTGCCTTTCCTCTCCACCAATGCTTGTGCTATGCCAATGATACATTTTTTTTGTCAAGGACACAGATGCTGGAACATAGTACAGGGAGAAGTGGATTCATGCCTTTCACAAAGATATTAATCCCACTGGAATTCAAAATTCCCTGATTCCATTTTCCTATATACTGTGCCACCATCTTCATAGATTTTCTCAAGACAAAACGTGTAGATTAAATATCTAACATAAAAGACTGATTTTTTTGCCTTATTTATTCTTTCTGGAGACTGAGCTAAAATGCAGGGAGAAGTGAATTCATGCCTTTCTTGTACCAAGTGTTGCTGAGGCTTGGTACATGGATGGCCCCTAGCTGTGACACATTTCCACCAAAGATTTCAACCATGCCAGTTTGTTGCCCATACAACATTAGTGTCAAAAGACTAGGTAATTATTACTTTGAATTACAAATTGCTGACGGTCCTCATTAATGTGGGCCATGACACTGACACTTGGGATAAATAATTAGTACCCAACCATGACACTCTTCACCTCATGTCTGTGCTAAAATAAACAAATACATGATGGGAAAATAAACAAAGACTGCAGATTGATGCAAAATAGAGAAGGTCAATCTCTCTATATGTGCTGTGTTCCTTCAGGATGTAGGTGATCATGGCTCTCCACAATTTCCTGTTCTTTGTAGCTCTTAATAATTTTTTTTTCTTATTTCTTCTAAACCTTATTCTGCCATCCATTTACTCAATCTCATTATGTTATGCATTGTTTTCCTCTGTCCTTATTGCCTTTAGTCTGTCCTGTGAATATCAGCTTACTTGAATTCAGAATGCCATAATTTATACAAACATTGTTTAACAAGTCGAATACATGTGAAATAAGATTTACCAATGAAAAACAAACAATGCAAAAGTAAAAATATAAAAATTTATTTCTTCTTTTTCCCTCATATGTCATTCTCTGATGAAGCTTTAATAAAAGCGAAACATGTTAGATTGATAAACATTTCCTATTTGTTCTTTATCCTAAAACAAATAATGTTACCTACCATGACATCATGAATGCTAAAATTCATGATGTCATGGTAGGTAACTTTTTGAACAAATGATTTGACAATTGTTTTCTAAACCTTAGCCATGATATCACAAGTTATATAAATAACTAGGATATATATGGAAGAATGTGATACATAAATTTTTATATATCAGAACAATGTTAAACAAATGAATGACAAAGTGGAAAAAAACTTAGTGAATGAAGATAGATTGTTCTACCCACCAACTCTACCACAACTACAATTGAAAAGAATTTATCTAAGCTTAACATAAAATTTGTTAAAACTACTTCTAAAAAACTAAAAGAATTAGTCAATACAAAGCAAAATAATAACCTAAAACTTGAAGGAGAAATTTACTGTACTACATGTAATAATTGCCACAAGGAATAAATAGAAGAAAGCTCAAAGAATTTAAATAAAAGATTATACAAACACAAAAGGGGTTTTTACCAAAACTATACACTCAATGTATTAGTTCCTTACCATAAGGAATCAGGGTATTTATATTTGAAAAATAAAGATCATTGACTATATCTACCTATATATATATATATATATATATATATATATATATTATTATTTTTATTATAAGACATTATAATAAAAACATGTTGAAATCGCTAAACAAAAGCTTTCATGTTTCAACAGTATGATTGTACTTCTTCAGGTGATGGTAAGTAACTGGTGATTAAATGATTTTTAAGAAAATTTAAAAACAAAGTATTACCTCTTTTCTGAAAGTTAAAGTGGGGAGGGAAGAACATAAGGTCTTATAATAAAAATAATAATAATATATTGCTCTACTTTGTACTGAGCACTTTCTTAAAAGTAAATGCTACAGTCAAATTTTACTCCATCTGTTCTTTCTTTCATTTGTGTGTGTGTGTATATATATATATATATATATATAAATTGCTGATACCCCCTGATGAGTGAGTGGACAAAGTGATTTCCAGAGAGTTCATCTAGGAAACTTTGAAGTTGGGATAATCAGCCAAGTGACAATCATTTTACTTGTATTAATTAATTATTTATATATATATATATATATATATATATATATATAAAAGACATTTTATGTTTATACATTATTTTTTCTTTAAAAATAATTCTCAGACTTTGTCTATTTCATAATGTGTGACATCATATATATATATATATATATATATATATATATATATATTGTGTATTTAGTTAACAAATGTTCTTTAAAACCAAATATTAAAAACAAATCACAATTAATTTAATGATCCTTGAAGCAATACTCATATAATAAAAACGACCATCAATAAATAAAAACAATTATAACTTAAGAGCCTGCATCCATAAAAGTATATAAAAAAAACATCACAACTCTTTTACCTCACAATACTCTTTGCCTAAGTCACAACACTTATTAGTTCTATGAAACTCATCAATTTTCTCTATCTACCCTGATGATGACTTAAAAAAGTTGAAAGTTTGTACCATATTTCTTGTACTTTCCTAATGAAATGGATTTTGGATAATTTCTGATATAATTTCTTCCTTGTTTGGCAACAACAATCATTAAAATTAATCAATACTAAACCTTTTCACGGTAGCAGTGATGGCATTGTTGACAGAACAATGTTGTCTGTAGAGTCTTTTAACAGCCTAAACAAAGAGAAGTTAGAACGTACTAAATCTAGATGAAATAGTGGCTATGTTAGGAAGGACATTCCAACATAAAAATTTGCATCCATAGTCTTTAAATTGGTTTCGGCCCTGACATTATCTCATTGCAAATTTTCTCTGCTTTAAATCTAAAAATCCAGATTTTAAGATGATTGACTATATTTATTGTAAAATAAATCTATTGGATGCTTTGGTGTACATCATCAGTGATGTTTTTAGCCAAAGTTCATTAGGGGTTTTGGGTCTTTCAACATCATACCCCCTCTCCATGGTGACCCAGCCAATACTGATCAGGCATCGGCTTGTGTACCTTGTGTTAGCTACAATTTTTTTCCATCCTCCCGACCAAACACTGCAACTCCTTTTGGCAATTTATGGCCTAATCCTGGATAACTTCCAATTCACTAGCAATGTGTGACCTTCCATTAAAAAAGGAAGCAAATGCAACCACAGTTTCTACCTGATAAGGAACATGGCGGCATGCTCGGCTTGAAGTAGTAAATAATGATTTGTTTCCCCTCACTGAGACATATACATGTACACACATGAAAACATGCTCAAAAATCACATTCTTACATACATACATACATACATATATATATATATATATATGCATACACACAAAGAAGATATTCTTTGTACACATTTGATTTACATCTGATGAAAATTGATCTTTGTATTTGCCGCCTCACAGGGACAAATATAACTTAGGTCAGTTTAATGTGGAGCCCCATATACATTTTTTGAATATAGGTATAAATGCCTAGTTTCTGTGGCCAGCAATATATCAGTGTCAGATTGTTTTTTTGTTTCTGCGATTTTGTTTAGCAGTATATCAACATCTATGAGTTATTTCATGCCTAAATCTAAATATTCTGAACATTCAACTACAAATAAAATGTATTGTTGATCATTTTACTATAAGTACATATTGCTGGTCATTTTTTTCTTATATAAAAATGTTTTGCTGGTATTTTAACTATAAAATGTATTTCTATACTTACATAGTGTTTTATTTTTGTTTGGGGGTTCACTATTTGCCCATAGCTGGGACCCTAACAGGTGCTACCACCCCAGGTCAGAGTGGACCTGGGAACAACAACATATAAAAGGGGGTTCCATGCTCCCCAAAAACCTCTAATCTCCCAATCAAAAGCCTTGCTGCCAGATGTAGTTTATCAGCATCCCAGGACTAAAAAGGTGTCAGGTGTTAGGGCAATATAGTGGTGGTGCAAAGTTTATTTTTCAATATTTGTTCCAAACAATTTGATTTCTTCAGTCATTCTTACTAATTCATTGAAAATTGAAGCTCACTTTATATAATAAAACAAAAAAACTGAGAAGAAACAAAAAAGATTAAAATACTTACTTGAGAGAAATGACAAAACGATGTCGCCTCTTCAATGATGGGAATGTCAGGTAAGATCCTTTAAAGAATTGCCGAGTAGTTAGCTCACAGAATTTGTTATGGTGGTCAGTGCTTGGGCAACCTTTGCAGTAAAATCCACCAGTAGAAATTGGTTCACAGACTGATGGTGGTCGACACAACTTGTGGGGACACATCTTGTCCTCATAGATTGTGCTCATGTCTACCTCACAGTGTTTGCCTGGAATTAAAAATACATTCAGATAGAATGGTAGTGAAGCTGAAAATAATGCCAGGGAAGTGACTTCATGTTAATAATCAGCATGATCCCATATTTGAAATTCTGATGTAAATTTTTTTCACAGAAATTATTTATACATTTTATAATCAAATGGCTAACAAAGTTATAAATAACAATTAAGAAAATTTAATTTAATATAAGATTCAATGTGGAGATTTTAAAATATTATATACACATAAAATATAAATTGGCTTTGAATTCTGCCATTGGCCAACGTGATTGATAATCCTGTGTGTTTTTGTTAATATTGACAGAACTGGTTTGCATTTTGCATAGAATATGGTCTCAGCTCTTGATTAAAATTGTCATAGCAGTCATGATCAAATTGCAAAGACCAACTCTTTGCCAGCAAAAGGAGAGATTTGTTCATTCCCTTCTTTTGAGAGAACATTAATAATTTTTTTTCCTCTCCTGATTTATTTCTGTTGCTTCTTCAGGTTTGTTTATCAATTTTATTCAGTTTTAATTTTATAAATTGTATTGATTTTCTATCTTTGATTAAAACGATTTTATATTTTAATTGTGTGCTAGTTTTGTTCTCCCATTTAGTCCCCTTAAAGTGTATTTGGTTGTTCTTGCTATAAAAAAAAAATAACTGCTTCCTCAATGATTTTCTTCTTTGATGAAGAGTTATCTGAAAGATTCCTAAGATAGTTCCCCCAACCCACATTTTTAATATTAAGATGTTTAGATCAGTTCTATTTAAGATGATAATTAAATTCTGTAGTATCAAATCATTGTTTAGATATATACAGGATGACTATAAAGTTACTTATAATAAAAAAGTAAAGCATTGAAGCAGGTGGCTTGTAGTTCGGACAGTATCAGTAATTAATTTACTATTGTTTACCATAGCATTGCTATTAACCAGAACCATTTTAATAATAAATTTCAGGACTGTTGATGAATTGCTTTGTCTTAATTGTTATTGTAAGTAACTGTATAGGGACTTTATTGTAACCCTATATATATGTGTGTGTGTGTATATATATATATATATATATATATATATATATATATATATATGTACACACACAAACAGATATAAGCCTATATATATATATTTTTAGAGAGAGAAGGAGAGAGATATACACATATTGTGCATGCATGACACTGGCAGTTGTACTTAAATTTCATAATTCATTTTTACTATTATATATATATATATATATATATATATATATATATATATATACACATACTGTGTAATGAATTATTAACAAAGTGACAATTTTCCATTTTGTCCAAAAACTACATGTTGGAATTTAACGAAATTTTCAGAGAATGATGGCAACAGTTATATGCGCATACCTAGTAAAAACTGTAAAGTTCCATAAAAATACACAGAAACTACAGTCATTTATTTAATTTACTTAAATTATAACTGTTCCAAATTATTATTGAAATGTAATTAAAACTCATGTGAACAAGAAAATAATGCTTTAATTGCTTCATATAGAGATTGTTATGGATACATACAGTAACCGACATGAAATAAATAAAAATTAAAAAATAATAGTGGTGCGGGTTAATAAGTGATATGTGATCCTCTTTTTGAAATGACATGGATAAGGTGTTGGTCCATGGAACATGTCAATTTCTGAATCTCCTCTGATGTAATTTCACAAGATACATTGACTATTACCTGCCACAAGTCCTTCTTGCTTCTAAATTGGCATCCATTCTCATAAAGCCATTGCTTCAGAATGTTCCATAAATTTTCAATTGGGTTTAAATCTGGAAAATTGGCTGGCCAGTTCAATTTTGATGTCCGCAGAAACATGATTGTTGCAGGTACTTCATAGTTTAATGTGCTGCATACAAGGCAGCATTATCTTGCGTAAATATCATAGTTCTCCTGAATGTGCTCCTTTGCTTTTTTAACAATGATTCAAAGTGCTCTCTCACAAAGACTATATAAGGATCTGCAGTCATTTTAATACCGTCAGGCACTTTTAACAGAGCAACAATGATATCTCCAATGAAACTAGTCCAAATCATGATAAACTCTCTTCCTTGTTGGCATCTCAAGCGTTGATGATGATGTCATCTGTTTATGACCCAACCTTCGCTCTATCCATCAGGGCCATCAATGGTAGCACAAGATTCATCTGTGAACAAAACCTTTGGGAAGTCAACCTTCATGTTATCTTCCCATTTCAGATGCTTTTGTCACTGATCTCAATGATTTCCCTACCTTTTCCAGAAGATGACTTTGAGTAGTTCTGCACACAGCTGTTTCTCCAATGTGCCTGAAAAGTTCTCCACTGGTCAGGCCTGGGTTATTTACAGCTTCACATTTAATTCGCGACAGAGAACCTTTGGAAACAACCCCTGAGTGACTCTTATTGACCCTCTTACATACCCCTTTGTAGGAGCTGCAACAAACCTTTTTCACAGTTTGGTGATATCTTTTAATCATTTTGGATATTTCTAATGTTGATTTACTTTTTGCAAGTTCAGATGTTATAAAAGGCTCCTCAGAATCAGTTAAGTCACAATTGTGACCCATAATTGCACAATTATTCATTCACTCTAATGAGTGAATGAATAATTTGGAACACTGAAGTATCGTGTTACTCATGCAAACGGCTCCAGTTTGTTTATACTTGCACAGAAGCTTACACTTTTTACACAGCACATGCATATAACTGTTGCCAACATTCTATGAAAATTTTGTTAAATTCCAACATGTACTTTTTGGGAAAAATGGAAAATTATCACCTTGTTAATAATTCGTTACACAGTGTGTGTATGTATATATATATATATATATATATATATATATATATATATATAAAATAATAATAATAATAATAATAATAATAATAATAATAATAATAATGGATTCTCCCATTGATTTTGATATATGAGGATCTGACAACTTAACTGATTCAGTTATGAAATTTTGTGCGATAATCTTACGTGGTACTTAAGATCCACTAGTGATTTACAAAGGAGACCACACATGGAGCAAGAGTGAGGATTGTGGGATGGGATCACTGTTAGATTGGCTGACATTTTAGATCTTGCCTTCACTTCTTGAAGACGATTCAGAGAAGCAGATGAATCCACTAAAACACATTGATCTCCATTCTACCCACTCCAAGGCTAAGGCGCTCAAAGGTGTTATGTAGTATATTGACAGCAGACAAGTTGCTGTTCAGCTTGTCTTTGTATCTTAGCCATGGGTGTCCTACACTACTGTAGCCCTGATCTAACTGGCTGTACATTAGGATCTTGGGTATCCTGTCATCAGACATTCTCAAGACATGACCAGTCCATCATAACTGAGACTGTATGAGAAAAGTGGAACAAAATATATATTCAGCTCTGTTATGAATCGGCAAATCATACTTGGATACACCAATAATACATTTGTCATTGCAACTGTTCCCTAATATCGTTTAATAACATGTCTAAGCATCAGTTTTCTTGACCCACCTACATCCACCCTCTGACCTTTCTTTCGTTTTTGTCTCTGATGAAGCCTTGAATGGTGAAATGTGTAATCAAATCTATTTTCAATGAAATGTTATACATGTGTTAAGTTTCTTAAAATAATTTAAAACTGTTGGACTTTGTCCATTTCATAATAAATACTGACATCATATATATATATATATATATATATATAAAAAGATATTTTAGGTACAAAATTTAATGATCGAAATAAAAGTATAAAATTTAATATTACAAGACATATTAAAACAATATTAAATAATAAAAAAAAAAAAAAAAAACTCAACAACAAGGGGGAAAGCAACGGTTTCGCTCCCGGGCCTGTCAAAACTTCCACGGGAGATTCAAAATTAAAACAGAGAAATGTACAATAAGAATAGGTGGAAAAAAAAAAAAATTACGCATATATATATATATATATATATATGTTTATATATATGTAAGAAGGAACTAGAGGCAGATGACAGCGAGTCCCAGCAAACACTCGTTGTTTGCACAAAGAAGGCTTGCGGGACCCGATGTAAAGTGCCTCCAGAACCTTCAGATGAAATACAGAGTGTGACCGGGCCAACACGGTGAACCAGTCGACACTAAATTTGGCGGCACAATCTCTGCTATTTAAAAGATGTTCGCATATGGCGGAACTGTAGGTGTTCGGGACGAGTCCACTCGAAGCCAAGCGCTGAGTTGTTCTCCCTATGTAGTTGGCTCCGCAACTACAAACGTATTTGTAAACAATTGAATTAATATGGTGGGGAGGGAGAACATCTTTACACGCAGATCGAAACATAGGCCCGAGTCTGAAAAATAATCCGAACTTCAGCAGAGAAAAAGCAGCAGCGAACCTTTGATGAAATTTGTTTGGCCATTTTTTCACACTTTGTACCAATCCAGGGTAATCTAAGGTAAACAGGGCATTTTTGGACTGTGTAGAGATCGTCACTTCTGAACTCTTCAACTTTACTCCGGATAACTGAATTAACAGTATCAAGAGGATAACCCAAATTACATAGGGTATCCTTAATAAAGTTAATTTCATTGTTCAGGAAAGGCTCAGAGCAAATCTTTAATGCTCTGTGGAGGAGGGTTTTGATAATGTTGATCTTGCGCTTAGTGGGACAAAAAGACGCGTGTATAACCCTGCAAAAGTAGGTTTTCTATAAACGGAAGTAAGAAAACCTGTTAACATACGATGTACTAATACATCCAAAAAAGCCAATTGATGATTAGACTCTTTTTCGATAGTGAACCTTAGTGCCGGATGGATACCATTTAAAAACGAAAAAAACTGGTCAGCCTCAACTTCACCGTTAAATAAACAAAAGGTGTCGTCAACATACCGATAGTACAGTTGAGGACAAAGTGGATTCTTTCGTATCTTTTTCTTCCTGGAAGCCAACAAATATCATATATGCTGTGCTCATATATATATATATATATATATATATATATATATATATATATATATATATATATGA